CATGGAATTTTACTCAATGCTATTGAATTTGCTTTAAGATGAGCACAAGGAGTGAAATTCATAAGTAACCACATAATTCTTCTAAAATTAAATATATAATACATAAATTTAAAAGTTTATTTTAATAACACTTTTTTTTGCACAATCACATTAAAACATACCTATAAAAATATGTATCTTTTTTAAAAGTAATATTTGTGGTATTTTTATATGAAAATATCAAAGTTGAGTGTTGAAAGATTTCAAAACTAATGATTATATTTCATATCTATTATAACTCTATATTTAAAGGGTTATAAATTATATGAGGGATCTTGAGAATCTCTATTTATTTCTCTTCTTAATTAGAGAGATTAGCTGCATCTTATATTTTATTATTTTTTTTTTCTATTATATTCTGTTTTTATCGTTTTTCTTACCAGTAAGTCATGTAATAGGTATTTATACCCCTCTTTGCATCAATAAAATTAAGCATTCCACTTTATTCGGCATTATTCTAAAATTTAACATTGAGGGATTAGAAATGTAAATACATAAGAATTGTGTTAAATTCATGCAAATCCCTTAAATATATTGGCATTATTTTTTTCATTATTGATGCTTTGGATCTAGAGAATAAAGTGTTAATCAAATACTTAGTTAAACTGTTGAGTAGAAAAAAAAAGTATTAATAGATTAGATTCTCAACTATATTTTGCTCAAATAAGTGCCTTATGTTAAGCATGGATGAAAAAAAGATAATTTTCTTACTACTAAATATCAGAGGTTTGATCATTCTGAATTGAATGACAAATAAACTAAACTAACTTTTTTGATCAAATTGACATTTTTAATCATTGATACAAAAGCTTGAAGAAAACTTTTAGTTCTATGAGAGGCTCATCATAGTAAATTCTTCTGTTTGAGAATATTGTTGTTGGTGGAGGATAATTTCATTATTTCAGCGTTGAATTAAGATCTTGAAAACTCTAGTTGGTTGAGATGAACAACTAGAAAAGATGAGATTTTTCTATGTGTAAAATCACGGGAAAGAAAAATATTAGGAGATTTAACAGATTAAAAAAGATTTCATTAATGTGTGTCAAATATTAAAAAAAACACCCTTCATAATTATTGAAGGAAGCACTAATACAACTTAGTGAAAATAATTATAAAAACTTCTAAACTGAGCCTAACATATCATGGGTCGAACTTGACATGGTCCAACTACAGCTTGTTTAAGTTTGATGCAAGCTCAAGTCTAACTTTTACATATATGCTCATACTTGGCTTATGAAAATTATTTATAATCAGGTTTGGCTTGTACTTAGTTCGCTTAAATTAATTTAAAAAAAAAACATTTTAAAGGGTTAATAAATAAGCATATAAATGGAAAAGCATTAAGCAAATTCCCATGTTGTCATTATATTAACAAGTAATTTTATAAGTATAAATTAACTAGAAATTCAATAATTTGAAATTAATATCTAACTATTTTACGCTAATTTTAAAAATCACAAATTAAATGAGAATATGTTAAGGTTTATAGAACATATGTTCGAAATCATGTATCAAATGCTCAATTATAATTGCTAAATCTAATTAATGCGGCTGAAAAAATAAAATACGAGTGATGTGAGTTGTAATGTTTTGATAAGATGTGGATCACGTGTTAAAGGGTAATATAACTTATTGAATTTCTACATAAAATGAGAGAATATTCTTTCACCTCTAATTTTCATTGAGTCGCTCTCCAATTCTTTCACATGCATATTGTAGTCAATGTATCGATGGCTAAGACAAATCCCTTCCAAAGTATGCTCACTAATGTCTAAGCTATGAGTTGGATGAGAGGAAAAACTATTATATACCAAACTAGGGGTGTAAACGAGCCGAACACAAGCGAGCCATGCTAAACTAGTGTTCGACTCGTTTATATTTCGAGCTGTTCACGAACAAAGAGTCCTTTTAACGACCCTAATCATGTAGCCATAAGACAATAAGAGTTTGAGCAAGATTTAAAAATTATTATTTATATTAAAACATCATTTGAATCTAATTTAATAATTTTTATTCTATTTTCTTAATCAATATTTTAATTGGTTATAAATCTTTGCAGCCTTGTAGTCAATTAGATTTTTTTAAAATACTACTTTATATATATATATATATATATATATAAACTTGATGAGTAGTATTTCGAGCCAAAATGAGTCGAACACGAACGAACACATCTTAGTTCGTGTTCGGCTCGTTAACTTATCGAACGAAATTAACGAGCCGAGCACGAGCTTCTTAACGAGTCGAACACGAGCTGTTCGCGAACAACGAGCCGTTTTGACAGCTCTATACCAAACACGTTTTTAGAAATAAAAGTAAAAATAAAACAAAAACATTAAAAAAAAGATAATGCTAAACAAGCCCTAAGTTAATGAATAGTTGGTGTGAACATAAGCTAATTTGGTGACCCAACTACTTAAAAATAATAATATCTAACTTGGATTTTACTTATTGTGTTAAATAATAAATTATTTATTTGCATTAAAATATTAGTTAACTTGATAATTGCATCCGGATTGCTTCATAATTTTTGCGCACTTCTACCTTGCAAAAGGTTCACGTAATCCTCATTATCACCATACATTGTGTTTGTCCTTTGTGTGACTCCAAAGTATTTTTGGATAATTTGAATTAGCTTCTATACTTAACATATTTATATTTCTCTTAATAGTTAAATAATCTTTTATGGGCTATGCCATAACTTAAACTTGTGTGGTACATTTCGTGGGATTGAAATAATTGATTACTTGTGTACATTTTGTATTATATATATGTTTGATGAACTATATTGTAAGAAGTACATATACGTGAAAGTATATATATAAATATATATTTAAGTATTTTTTTAAAAAAAGAATTGTGAGAGGATATTATACGAGCTTCCAACCACCCTCTAATATGTCTAATAATTCGAGTACCGCCTCATTAAGGCCAACTGTGCCAGAGGGATTCGAAACGCACACGCACACTCCCGCGCGCGCACGCACCTGCACCACACACTTATTTATATATTGATATCACATAAAAAATATCACTACTAGTAACTTCATAGGTGTGAAATACATGTTTTCATGTATATGCTTTTAATATCAAGGTGGTACAAATATAAGCATCAAATCTTAAGTGTTTGATATGTAAATACATAAGAATTGTCTGGTATGTATGCAAATTTCCCTTTTATTTATCATTTGCACGTTTAATTCGTCCCCTATTAGTGTGCCCTCCAAGCTCATTTATGGCATCATAAAATTTATCCTGTAAATCGTTTGGGTTGCATTGCAGGCTACTTTGTTAAATAAAGTGCCAATTACTTACGATTTATATATTTTATTTAATAAATTATATTTGTTGTTTTCTTATTTGTGACGAAGGCCTGCGTATCTTTCTTCTTTTAGAACAAGGACCCTGAACAATTTTCAACATTTTGTGCTATATTTTCTTAACACGCCACGCAATAGTCGTTTTTTTATTTCTTGGGGATTCATTTTACATTCTGAACTCTTCTGCCATCTTTGATATATTCAACAGCTATTAGTTTATTTGATTTAAAATCACAATATATTATATATATATATATATAGATATATATATATATATAGTTTAATGTGTTAATATGGACACATACTAAATTGATGGATGCAATAGGTGTCATAATCAAAATTCAAGAAGAGTGGCAAAACTGAAAAAGTAAAAGAGTGAAATATCCAAGTTTAAAATCTTTTTCCTTGAAGTTATAAAATTATTATTTGTATATAAATTCAGATTAGGTATTTAAATTTATGGGGGCCAAAATTTTAATTGATTATATTATATTTACGTTGAATTCAAATTTGTCACGTGAATCACTCCTAAAGAATAGAGCATAGAACATATGGGAGAGAGATGGAGGGAGAGAGCACAACATGAACGACAGAATGGTAATCTTTGGGAGCCGGTGACGATCTATGACGTTCAGTGGAGAACTTTGGATGTGCTTGAGCTTCCAAATAGAAAGATACGTGAACAACCATTTGATCCCCGGGATTTGACATGAATAAATTAATTCATTAGAAATTATTGCCGCTTTCTTTTTTTTTTATTCAGATATGGAGTCGAACAGATAATTGATGTATCATATCATAACATCATGTTCTTCATAGGATCTTGTTCTATTCGTAGGAAGAAAATAGAGATTATATTTGGGAGAAATGACTAAGTGGTTGATAGCCCCGGTCTTGAAAACCGATATAGTTCTTAACAAGGAACTATCAGGGGTTTGAATCTCTTTCTCTCTCCTTTTGCTTGCTTAAGAAATTTCTTATTGACTCGTTTGGAGTGGCTTGCTTAGGTGAAGTAAGCAACTGAAGAAATTTCGTATGTATACACAGGATTTCAGTATGAGATTCAATATTATAAAGGTATGGGTGATTACAGTCTATTTGGATCTGTAGTGAGCTCCTTGGGGCAGCACCCCCATTCTTAGGTATCATTAGAATGTCAAGCATGGAAGAAAGCTGAGAAAATATCTGAAAGTCAACAACTACTTATCGTGATTAGTGACGATCTCGGGTAACCAACAATAATTGTCGGGTCTCCCATTTAAATGTTGAAATTGAGGCTCGGATGATTTTGAATTTAAATTTGAAATTTTTTTCACACATCAATAATTTTAATTATATAAATATTGGCTGATGGATTTTAATGAATTTATAATAATAAACTTTTTTTAAATTACAATTCACCGCATCACCAGGTATTCCTCGTACTTATTTCGATCGGCCACATGGCCGTTATTTTCTATCAAATCTACCAAAAAATTCCCGCCAAAAATGATAACTCGCAAACCGGCCACCGTACAAAATTGAAAAAAAGAATAAAATAAAGGAGGCTAATATAAAAATCAAATAATTTGCAAAAATAATAAAAAATAGACACTAATTATGAAACGGCTTCCGCTGTAAGAAAGCTGGACCAGGGGAGGCAAGCTATATCCGGAAAGAAGCCCGGGTAAATATTGGTGGTCAATAAAAGCAGATCGTGGAGAAGAAGATACCAAAGACAGAGGGTTCCAGGTTCTCAAGCTAGCTCATACACCAATTTTCTGCTGTTTTTCGAAGCCCTAGACTTTCCTAGAAGCCCTCTCTGCTCCATTGTCTTCCTTGCTCCGGTTGCTGCGATTACTTCTTATTTTCTGGGGTTCTGGCACGTCCGAATTCCCTGGTTTTAACCGGTTGGTTCTGAGATTGCAGCGGCTGCTGAGGTACTAGGAATTTGAAATTTGCGCCTGTTCTGCTGTTTTGGATAGGGAGGGAGTTCCGATTCTGGATCCGTGCTTGAGGGTTCCGCCTGCGTTGATTGGGTTTCTAGATGCTTAGGACGAAGACGGGTTGGTGATGGAGGCGAGCCGAGAGTCGTCTGTGGCTGTGAGAACTATTCGGGGGCTGCATTATGCGCACAATCATAACGCGTCGTCTGGTATGCTTCAGATAGTCTCTTACGCGTTCTGCTTTGAATTTGAATGCTTTGGAAGTGAAACACAATTTTAGATTCTGAGAATTTTTTATGATGTTTGGGTGGTGATCTGTGGAATTTCCTTCTTTGGATTTGAAAAAAATGGCATTATTGTAATCTTGTTTCTCACATTTGTTTCGAATGCGGATAATTGATATCAAATGGGAATAACTCCGTTTAGGACATGTTCTTAAGTGCCTTAATTTTCACGGCAATGAGGACTAGTTTATCATCTTAACATTGAAGAATAATCTGCCACGTACACAAATAAACTGAGAGCAACTTTTAAGAGATATGATGCTTTTAATATGGAAAATCTAAGAAGTAAATGAAATTAAACGGCTTAGCATAATTGAAATAACTCAATTCATATTACTAGGTTATTATAAAGGATATCATTTCTTATAACGAAATAAGACAATAATTGTATGCAAGAATTTTGAGACGTCGAGTTGTCATCAAGCGATGGTGGACGATCATCTCAGCAATCTACTTGTAGGATGAGAGATTAAGTGATTGAAAAGATTAGCATTAGCTACTGATAGTTGATGGATATCAAACATTGGCAGTGTCACATGATTTTGGACTGCAAATACTAGACACTAAGCTATGGTCCGTGGTTTGCATGATCGTTATTTTCTTAGTTGGATAAATTAGAGACCATGAAGACGAGTGTCAGGTGTTATGTTGGATGTTAGTGGCTGACTAATATCGTTTTCTTCTTATATGGTTATTTGAGTGTTGCATTGCCTACTATTCCTCCTCTTCTTTTGTAGGAATGGTTATATGCTTGCTTGTCCTTGTGCTCCTTTATAGAAAAACTGACGGCGGATTTGATGGGCTTGAGGTGCATTTGTAATATATGCTAGATGTATATTAATAGACCACAACAAATTGTAAAAATTTAATGTGTGCCTCTGTTTAAAAAAATAAAATTAATTTACGCGCTCCTCTTAAAAAAAATGGTTGGCTCCTCTACGGCGTACAATTATTTAATATTGTACTTATTATAATTACATAACATGCTTCTACATGAGGTTCTGTTTTTTATATGCTGTTTTCAATATGAAGAGCGGTCTCTTAAAATCAGTTTTCTAGAATTTGTCCACTTTTCTCTTGCTTTGCGCATGTTTTGGACATCTCCTTTATAATGAGACGACTTCTCCGCGTCCCTTGATTTTGTCATTTGGAAACGGTGCTTATCATATACGTACTGGGCATTGCACTCAATTTATATGACTGATATCCTGTGCTTAAAAAATTGCTGTTTAATAACTAGCTTGTGCTTGCGTCAAACATGGAACGTCTACCTCTTAATATGTTGGAAGATTTTCTGTAAATCAAGTAACTTGAAGATAATTTATGTTTCTATTCATAAATTGCTGGCATTTACTTAATACAGAGATTTGTAAACATTGATTCATTACCATGATATGAAATGCCACCGTCTATATTGTCACAGGGTCAACTGCTTGGATTGGAAAGGGACTCTCCTGTGTTTGCGCCCAAAGGAGAGAAACTGATGCTCGGATATCATTTGAACTTTCCCCCATACAGGTATTACTGTGTCATCATTTGATATGCAAGCCATAAAAACTGTCAGAAAATTATTAGTACATTCGTCCATGTACTCCAAATGAACGAGCATGGTTCGGTTTATTTAACTCATAGACTGTTGGAGTATGCATAAAGATGGTTCTTTTTACAGGAAGCTTTCAAATTATGCTGGATTAGTGAAAATGCTAATCCTATGGGCACAAAACGTGTTCATGTGGTTTGATGAACTTGCTCTTGTTCAAAACTTGTATAGTCTATCAAAGATAAATAGTGAGAAATAGGCTTTAGGTGATTTGGATGTGTCACAAAGAGTAATAATTCATCTTTTATTTGGATATGTAAATTTAGTGCTCAAGGATTCTAAAGGAAAAGAGATAGACTCAGTTATCATGGATAAATGGTAAAATCTTTTTGAATACCTCATACATCACTCAGAAGGTATAAATAATTTCATAGACTTAAGGATGATAAAAGCCCAGCTTTTTTTCTTCCCTCGTTTCTTTCTGTTGATTACAATTTATTTTCAAGCATTTCTTCAGCACAATATAAGTTTGATCAATTATTTATTCTTATTTTTCTTATTCATAACAATATTTTCTTTAATGCGTTGATGAATTTATGGTGTTCAATGTTTTCTGTGGAGCCTTTTTACTGGCCTAAAGATGGAGTGTGTAACTTCTCTGTTCCTTATATTTCTGCAGGAAGAATGTCTGCAAAGGCTGCAAAATCGCATATATATAACTTATGATTGTTCAAAGCTGGAGCACCAGGTACCAGACAAACAATAAACTACTAATCCTGAAATTGGTATAGTTTATAAGATGGCATGCTATGTTTTGCGGTTTTTCAAACTGTTCTTTTTTGTTGTTTCTTTGGGAATCAGTGTGACATCTTTAGCATGAGATTGCAGTTTTTCAAAATATTTGGAAGTTTTGTAAAATGGCAATAAGGACAAATTGCTTTGTTTATATTCAAGTTTTGGGGGAAAAAAACAAAAAAGAAAAGAAAAAAGAGGTAACAAGTTAGGGTATGATGGGAGAAATGGGTCTGTTAGGTTGAATGTGTCGTAAAATTAAGAATGATATATTTTTAAATTTAGGAATACTCATAATTTACAGTTTTATTATGAATCAATAACCATTGATTTTAGATTTTCAACTTATTTTCTATTTATTTTCCCTCAAATTCCCCACAGCAAAGCAAAGCCAAAATATTTTCTCTATTAAATCATTGTAAAAATAAGCATATTTTTTTTTTAGTTTTATGTGAAATGATTATATCCATGACAGGGTTGGTGTAGCTCCTGTGACGGACAAAATTAGAGAAAGTCGTCTTAGATGGTTTGGTCACATTAAGCGTCGATCATCTGATGATTCGATTAGGAGAGTAGATGTTTTAGATTCGACTTATGTTAAGAAAGGCAGAGGTAGACCTAGGAAGACTTGGGGTTATTGTATAAAAAATAATCTTAATTTATTAGAACTAAATGAAAATATGACACTGAATAGGACGCAATGGAGAACAAGGATTCATGTAGCCGGCCCCACGTAGTGCAATTAAGGCTTTGTTGATGTTGTTGTTGTTGTTGTATAATTGCAAGGCAATGAGAATTAGGGCTAGGAAAGACAATGATGATATCCTCAGTCAAGTTATTTATTTTAGCGAAGCTCGTAATATTAAGTATTTATATTAATTTCGTCAAGTTTAGAACTTTACCTGCATTTATATGATCCCTGTTATTATTGTTTATTCAGCTGAAGTTCTAGTTCTGACTTTTTACATTTATTAAAACTTTTGAAAATTTTAGGAAGCCTTGAGAGCCCTTTGGCATGCAACATTTCCTAATGTTAAATTACATAGTTTGATATCCGAGCAATGGAAGGACATGGGGTGGCAAGGGAAAGACCCATCTACAGATTTTAGGTATTTGGAAATTTTCTTGCCCTGCAAACCGGTTTCTGAACCAACTTGTACTCATATTTACATAATATTGATGAAATTTAATGGTCATGATTGCAGGGGTGGTGGATTTATATCCTTGGAGAATTTACTCTTCTTTGCAAGAACTTTCCCAGTAAGCTCAAGCGCAATTATCATTTGTGAAATAGCAGAATTTGGTTTAAACTTTTTTTTTTTTATCCTATGATTAGAAAGCATATTTGTTTATTCTTCCTTGCTCCCATGCACAAGTTGCTTGAGGACTGTTACATTTTTATCAAAACTTCTTAATTGTTTTTCTGGTTTAGGAATGCATTTAGTGCATTTACACATCCTTGGCATGCATCACTTTTTCTTGGGTGAGGTTATGATTGACCGTTCTATTGATGATATTTCTACTCCTATATCCAGCTATGCCAAACAGTACCATGCATGTAATTTTCTGATGAGGAGAAACAGAATCTACTTGAACTATTACCTATCATTTTGTTCAAATACCAAGTGCGCCCGCATCAATATACCATTCAATTTTTATTTAGTAAATAAGAAAGTTTATATGATTTTATGAATCAGTAGTATAATCGTTAAAGTTATGGCTTCGATATGATGGTCTACAAATCTAATTCAGCAGTCATGAAAGAGAATAATCTGCTCAAGCATTTACCTGTCATTTGTTCAGCTACTGAGTGTGCCTATGTAAATATCACTTAAAAGCTTATTAAATAAACAATAAAGCTTATGTGATTTTGTGGATTGAAGCTCAACTGTTTGGTCAAGTATTTGTTAGCCTAAAGGTTAAAATCATGGCTTCTATAACGGTCTATGATTCAACTGTCATGAAGGCAGTTAATAGGCTATTCTTGTTATGCATGAAAGGACTGAAAAAGGGGTTTTCTTTAGACATTCTAGGAAAATCCAGGTGTTTACTTAGAGAGAATCGTGTTCCTTTGTAGCTGCCTTTGAAGTAACATGTTATCTTTTTCGACACTACACTACCAAGTAGTGAATGAATTAATATTTGTGCTCCCATCATTTATTTTTTTGGCATGATCCTAATTCAATTAGTGATGTATTTAATGAAGTCAGAAAAACTAGATTTAAAATTTGCACCTCCAAATATCATCAATTAAGCAATTATCCACTAACTTTTGATACAATCACAAAAATATGAAGAATGTGCACCAATTTTAATTATTGATTGATCCAAGAAATTCAATTAGAAATTATAACGTAAAAAAAAAGCCAATTAAAAATCAAGCCTCAATAAAAAATTTATTTTTGTTGAATTTGAATAAAATTAATCATGCTCGCAAACAACAATAAATTATTTAGAAGAAAAGAAAAAAATAACAGAATTCATCTTGAAGAAAAAAATTTAGTCCTTATGCTGCCATCAGTAGGCCATCAGTAGATGGTTTCTCTAAAATTTGATAGTCTCTCTTGCTCATGCTCAAACTGATCAACAACCAAGTCAACTAAACAAGATTGAAAAAAAAAATCTGATTTTCTTTAGCTGCTCCTATTATATGCTTCAAAACTTATTTTGATAACTTCATAATTTCCTTCAGCTATCTCATTTTAATTCAGTTATGTAAAAACTAACAAGTTACTAAAGGGTAAGTCTAGGTGGCATTGAAATAGAAGGTAACGCTCACAATATAGCATTAACTGGTTTTTGAATATGCTTGCTACAGGAGTTACATGGGTTACAAGTAGGGGTGAGCATTCAGTCGGTCTGGATAGACTAATGTCCTAATTGGTCAAACAAATTGCAACCAAAATTCAAAATTCGAAGGATCAAAAATTAAAAATTTTGATAAAAAAAAATTGAGTGAATAAAAATTTAAATTAGTTTAAATGGTTTAGTCTTGAACAAACCGAAATTTACTTGTTTCTTGAAGTTTGGTTTTGAAAAAACATTACGAATTACATATTTTACATGTATAATATCAATTTAATTTAATAATTTGTTCATTTCAATCAAATGTTGCATATAATATAATCTTTGAGTTTTTCAATTTGTTTGATATGAAATTAAAATATAATAGAAAATTTTCAATTAAAATTTGATTTTTAAGTTTGTTACGTTAAATGAAAATTAAATGTGAACCGATAAACTTTTCGGCTTCATCAATCAGCACTAATTAATTATTCTTCTACGCAGAAATCCTTTCAAGATCTTCTCTGGAAGAGAGTGGGCAACCGATCTTTGTGGGAATATCCATTTGCTGTTGCTGGTGTGAATATAACTTTCATGCTAATTCAAATGCTTGATCTCCAAGCAGGTTTATATCATTAAACCTTACATACGTGATAATTGGGAATTACTGAGAAAGTTTAGATAATTTTTTTTTTCCTGAATTCTTTTCAATCATTTTTATTTACAAGTTAAAGTTCAAAAATATTTGTCAGTATTTTTATAATTTAGGAAAATTTCACCATTTTAAATTATTGATTTTAACTTGTTGATATCTGTAATGTCACTTATGCCATAGCATGGTAACTTGCAGCAAAACCAAGGACAATGATGGGAGCGCTGTTCTTGAAGATACTTGCAGGTATGCAAAACATAATTTAATCTTCGATTGACTCCTGCTTGCAATCTCTAAAAATCATGCTTTAGAATACAAATTTATTTTTGGGTGCTAAATGCAAAGCACATAGCTTACCTATCTTAATTAGCTTCTTTTGGTATGGTAAATGTAAAGCATTGTTCGGGCCTTCAATCATCATGCGGACATGGAATTTCATGGATTTAGTTGACAAATGAAATTGAGCGCCTGTTTTCCTCATGTCTCATTGGATTAGACTTTTGCAGAACTAGTTTCCAACTTGTGCAAAATACCTAGGTGGACTCGAGGCCATGTATTTTAGCACTAAGTTTTGGTATAGTTGACAAAATCGTCCTGACATGGCACGAATTTTTGCTCTTTATTTTATATTCAGATCCCTCAAGGTTTAGCTTGGAAACTTTGACCATTATTTTAGAAGTTATTTGACTCCAATTTCAACAACTTTTTGTGATGTATTTTGAGGAGACGAATCCAACAATGTGAAAATCAGTTAGAGCGGAGCACATTCAGCATTGGAAAAGGAGCTCTAATGTAGATTTTAAATTTTGTTTAAGTTTTTTAAAGGGTCGAATGAATTAAAACTTTTGTTTGCTTATATTTAAAATGAGCTTCTCATTCAACAAATTTAAAAAATCCATGATCATGTGAATTTGATTTATTTAGGGACTGAAACTTCAAAAAATAAAATGAAAAATTGACAATCTGAAGCCGCACCTTTTGTCCTACTCATACAGAACAATTGCCTTCAGCTAATGGATCTCAATGAGATGCTCTGATTTTTGCTATCGCAAGAGCATAGTTGAACATCTAGACTAATGCAAGCCATTGTGAACTCTTTAAGTGAGCAAATAACAAGCCAATTGTTACACTGAGTTGCTCTTGGGGAAAAATAATATTTCATCACAAAAATTTCTATCACTATTTTTCTTTGACGCTAATTTTACTCCACAAGTTTCCTGGTAATTATTGTAGTTTTCACATGCATCCTATTGACTATCCAATGAAATTGGTTTGCCCTCAGCGAGATAAATAAATTTATATTAATTTGCATCCAATTTGTCTTCAACTTTTAATGGTAATAAAATGTAGCCTATACTTTAAGCTATGTTCTGACAATCCAACTATCATATTTTTGACCTTCAATTCCTTTTGCACCTATGGTGTTTTGTTCAGTTGCGCATTTTGTTTGGTCAGTTCGGATAAATTTTTTAGGCATTAAGAATCAATTGGTTTTATAAATTTATAATCCAAACTATGCAAACCAACCGAATGCTCACTAGTTTTGGTATGTGAGGTTAAATTGGCTCATCCAAGGATGAGATTTTATAGCCATTCTATGATTAGCATAAGCGCACAATCTGATGTGCCTATTGTTGATAATAGTGAGAAGGTTTCATAGATAGTTATGGATTAAGGATTGGAATACCCCATAAAATCGTAAATATCTCTCGGTTTTTTTTATTGTTTTATTTTATGAATTGGATGCATATGAGCGCAGAGACTTGAATAGCTTTTTATTGCTTAGAGAATCACCTTAGTGTTCCCATGTCGACTGACTACTAGATGTTCCCTAACCAATATCACCTGATATTTGTAGTTAATTATTGTATGTTGACTTGTATGTGGTAGGCCTTGTAGTTAGAGATAAAACACTCAATCACTTGGCATAGTAAGTTAGCCCATTTAGTACCCTTCCTATAAAGAGAATGATTGAGTTGATATCGTATATTTGCCATCTTTAGACTTACCCTTCAAAAGACATGATATTTGACAACCCCTAACGTTTGATGTCGGCTTGTTAAGTTGATTAGCCAAGTGAGCTAGACCCAATCACTTAGTCAAGCGGGCTACTTCATTTAGTCTCCCTTCTATAAGGATAATGATTGAGTTAATTTCCTATATTTGTCATCTTGTCACGATCAGACTCGGTGAGCTTGAAATTTTCAAGGCGGAAACTTACGGTCGGATCGATGAAATCTATCTAACAGTTTCATTTGATCACAAAAATAAAATTCAGAAAATAAAAGTCATTCTAATTCATAAAACTTATATTTACAATAAAATGTTCATATTTAAATGTTCACATTTACATTTATACAGAAAATAAACTAAACTGTAATACCTATCAGCTTGCGCTCTATAGTGTATGTACACGCACTCTCTGGGGTCCATCTATTCTACAGCTAGTTCTCCTGTAAAAATATTAGCAATTATGGTTTGAGTTGAAATTACTCAATGTATAAGTGTTTCTAAATTACAATAATTCTCATTTTAAAATGTTTTTGTAAAAGTGCGGTAACAGTAAAAGTTGTGCAGTAAAAGAGCACGGTAAAAAAAAAATTTCATTTCCTTTCATTTATTTAGGTTACACTTTTCATAATTGGGAGTCACCATGTAAACATATACTTTATAAAAATATACGTTTAACCTTTTCCAACCCATCATAAAGGCAGACAAACTTTTCCATTTTCATTTTAATTTTCATTTCTATTTTGTGCATGAGTACAATATATTTTCTTGCTAGTATCATCCAAGGGTGACTCTCATATGCATGTATATATCATATTTTATTATTATTATTATTATTATTATTATTATTATTATTATTTACATTTAACATTTAAAAGAAAACTTGCATTTAACGTTTAAAAGAAAACATAGACTTTTGTATTTTAAAGTAAAAGATGAGAAAACAGTAAAAATATGCATAAATAAATAGAATCATTGCAAAATAAAAAAAAATATTACCAACCTCAATAATGTCGTTTGTTATCATTTTCCTTAGGTCAGTCTAGTCCTTAGATGCATCCATCATAATAATTTAAATGTAATTAACTTCTTTTTCAGTGCTAATCTTTTCTTTTATTGCTTCTAGATTTATTTATGATAAGGTTCATAAGTTCTTTATTTACCTTTTTAAAAATATGATTTTACATATATATGTATATTTATGTGCTAACCATATATACATTTATACGTAGAAATACACATTTTACTTTTATGTTAGAACTTTTAAATTTTTCGCACCTAACATTAATGGTAACTTAATTATAAATAAGTTTTAAATTTAGGGTTTTTTATTTTATTTTAACATTCATTAATTATGAAGGAAATAAGAAAGTGTTGAAATTGAATTTTATACCTGAATTCTTTTATGCAACAAATCCCTCTTTTTATGATGTAACAATTTGAAATCAATTTAGTGTAAAATATTTATAATTTGATTGTACTTAATTACCACCAAATAATTTAATAAATTATTACTTTACCTTTTTAAACCCTCTCCCTGCCCTAAGCTATTCGAACCGATCGGCCAAGCGCTCTCGCACGCACAATGGCCTTCATCCTCTTCTTTCCTCTGCGAGCTGCATGATAGGGCTCCCATCGGCCTTTCCTCCCTCTCCCAGCTCTCGGCTGAGATACATACAAGCCCCTCGAGTCCTCCATCCTTTTCGTCGGGCCTCACGACAGGGATTTCGCGAGGCCATCTCCTCCGTAAGCACTCTGTTCGAGCTTCTCACACTTGGAAGCGTGCGCAAATGTTGAAACGATAGATCGACGGCATAATGGAGAAGCTGGGTGAGCCGTTCGAGCACTCCAGGTAGTAAATCGGCCTTCTCCTTCTTCATCCTTTCTTTTGATGTTCGCGGCTCGCACCCGACAGAGCCGCTCGAGCTCTAGTCACACTCCTACACTCAAGAGAATGACAGGAATTGACCGCAGGCAAGCCGCACGTCTCCTCTTCCTCATTCCTCTTCTCCTTCTTCTGCTGCTGCTTCTTCTTCTCCTTCTCCTTTTCTTCTTCATTTTCTTTCTGTACTTCACTCTCTCAAATTCTCACGCTCCCGGTCTCTCTCGCTTACTGAATGTGTGAGTTCGAATAAGGGAAATGAAGGGATAGCCGCAATTCGACTCTCCCATGAGATTATTTTAATTACCTTTTCTTATTATTCTTATTATTTCATCTTTCGACTTCTCCAACAAAATATGTTTGATATTCGATGCCCCCATAAAATATAATCATAACTAGTTAAGTTGTTTGATTACTCTTCTTAAAAAAACAAGCAAGTTAACTACATTCCTATACCTATTGCTGCCTTCTGTTGATATTGTCATTTGCTAACCAAGGATACCCAACTTTTGTTGAATGACATCGTACTCTTAACGCCAATTGTTGAGTGGCATCTACCAACCGATGTTAGTAGAATGTGTTATTTTCGACATCATTTGTTTCTTTTTGTTTGTGACCTAAATTGCTAATCTACAAGAACCATCCAACTTTCAACTTTAGTCATCGCTCTTTCATTAACACAAAATTGTTAATGTTCTAAATACATTCGCACCCTTCATTCGTATCATTGATTGGCACCTGCCATCCTTCGTGTTGATCAACAATGTTTATCACCATTCATTTTCTAGCACACATGTTTGCATTATCTAAGTTAAGCGTGCTCTATCGTCAGGTTTCGGCTTCCCTTTCTCATAAACAAGACATTCAGTCCATCATTTTTTTTTCAACTGAGAAAACATTGTAGTTTTAATCTTACATGTTCTTCTTTTTTTTGTTCCCTCGGGCATGTTTATAAATATAAATTATAATTTCTCCACAGAGGACAAGAGATCCTTCGATCTGCTATACTGCATTGCTTTCAAAATGATGGATCATCAATGGCTGGCCATGCAGGCTTCATACATGGACTTCAATGTGAGTAGAAATCTATTCCACCCTCCACATAAATTAGCCTGGATGTTAAATATGATTTGCAACGGCGTTGTATAGAAAAAGATAATCAATTAAGATTTATAAAATTTAGCAGGGTTTATATGTAATCAAGCCATAAGTCTATCCACAAGTGCTTGTAAGAACTAAAATGTATATATTAAATTTTATTATTTATATAGAGAAATTACAAATTCGAGCTGGACAGAACCTGATTCCAGCTTCAAGTTTTAATTTTGTGAATTTCAACCAGAATAGAAGCATGTCTCAACTAAGGAGAGAGTCTAATCCCAGTAGTCAACCATTACTCACCCAATTCCTATATATTTACATGTCTAACATGTAAACTTTGCTTTTTTTACATTAACAGCACCCAAACCTTTCATATAATCACGTCACATAAAAAATACCGCCATTTTAACTTAAAAACAAATGAAACACACCTTTTTCAAGCATAGGTAAGTGATATGCATGCAAAATTGAAGTCTAGGCGTCACATAAAATATACATAAGAATTTTGGGGTCTGTATGTAAATCTTCCATTTATTTTAATTTTATCATTCTCTTTTATATTACCAACGTAGGCGGTTCTGAAAGCAACACGGCGTCAGTTGGAGCGTGAGTTTCTGCTAGAAGATATACAGCGTTTGGATGACATGCCTTCATTTAGGCTACTCCTTCGGTAGTCAGACTATACTCCACCCGTCTTTCCTCACACGAAGAAATGTTTTTTTTATATACCTTTATAATATGTATTTAATGAACACTTTTTCCTATGAGATCTGATTTGTGTATTCACTGCTTTTCTGAAGTTTTTCCGTTGTTTTATTGCCAAATTTAGTTTTTTAGGGGGCGGTTAAGATGACTTTTATTTTTTAAATTTTTAAATTTATATTTAAATTTGAATTTATTTATCTAAATATTTTTATTTGACGCCACTAATCAAAACTGCTTTCATATTTGGTTTTATTTGATTCTTTTGATTTAATGTAATAGATAAATAATTGAAATTATTTCAGAAAGAAGAGCTTCCTATTTTTATTGGCAATTCTATATCTTGTCGTAACAAAAAAATATCGATTTTCCATTACGTTCCATTCTAATAAAAAATAATAGCAGCTTGACCCGGAAGAAAATAAAATTTACTTAATTTTTGTTCTTAAAATTATTTTCATTATATTTTTAGAGGATTTACATCAATACCACTCCATTCTTTCCTATTTAATTATATAACACTTAAACTATATATATATATATATATAAACATGGTGTTTCACATTTGTTAAAATAAAAATAATGGCATTTTTTGCATGTCGGGGAAAGATTTGGGTGATAATATAAAATTTAAAGTTCAGACGCAAGTTATAAACAAGCAATTAACCAGAGACATAAAAGAAAGCAATATCAAATAGAAACAACATATAAATTACCATCTTCTCAAACTCATACATAGATAATACTCTCACAGCTTTAAAAACTAAAACATTATAAAAAATTTCAATGCCAACAAATCAGCAAATGCATCTCTTATCCAAACATATGAAGACCCTCCTTTCTTGTCAGAATATGAAGGCTTTGAAAGCAAGTTGAAGATAACATTCTCAAATGAAGAGGACAATGATCCTTTTTCCTTAATTTTTTTTCACTGTTTGTTTTTTTTTCTTTTATAGTACTATGTTTGTTCATGAACTATTTTATGTGTCGTGGTTGTTGACATTGAAAATTTATTCATTATGCTTTTTATTTGAATTGAAATGTAGGCTTTTAAATGCAGAACGGAAGTGCGGCTTTCAAAAACGATACAGAACGGCAATATCAACCAGAGACTTGAAATAAAAATAGGATTCTAAGTCAATTATATCAAACTCATACATAATATAATTAATACTCTTACATCTTCAAAAATAAAAAGTTCGAAGCCAACAAACCAGCACAAAGGCTGCACCAACAACAACAAAAGCTCTGTTGAATAATAGAGTAATAATAAATAATAAGAGTACTACCAGGGAGCCAGAATAGATAGCAGCAGAGGCTCACTCATAGATCCAAGGGTGGAGATTGCTCTGCCAGTTTGACAGACCTTCTGGGAACCACAGAGCGATCTCCTTCCTGGCACTCTCAATCGAATCGCTTCCATGAATTACATTCCTGCAGTAACAAAAATTAATCACATTATATATATAAAGATTTATTTGTTTACAAGAGGTAACACTACACACTTTCCAGTCCCTTTCACTAAATTTCCAAACCTGCTTGTTTAAATTACTGTAAAACCTAGAGAAAAGCAATAAAAAAGTTGAATTACCCACCAAAAAAAAAAAAAAAAAAAAAAAAAAAACCACACGTCATATGCATTTATATATCTAATACCAAAAATTTATTTTTAGTTATATGCTGCCTTACATATGCATGAAAACATGTATTTTAACTTACGTTAAGTTAAAATAGTAGTATCATTGATGTTGATGCGTGCTAGAAAATTCACGGCGGTAGAGTAATGAATTATCGTCTTAGCGTCGCGCGAGTATTCAACACACACTCGGATGAAAATGAATTAAACTGTAATAATAACATAAATTTTTACGTGAAAAACCCGTAAAGAGAAAAAACCACGGGACCTGATCCAGTTGTAAAAATCCACTATACGTTGATGATTACAGATGCCCCTTGTCCCACAGACGAGAAAGAGTTACTAGCTTTCCAAGTTACAACGTCGACTGACAACGTCTAGTCAGCGATGGTTGACTGAGGTCGGCAGTGATCGACAGTAGTCGACGACAATCGATGACGGTCGGCCGGCGGTTGTCAGCGGTGACTGACGACAGTTGATGACAGTCAGCGGTGACTGACGACAGTTGATGACAGTCAGCGGTGGTCGACGATGGCGAGAATGATCTTGAATTTGAGTTCATTCTCAATGCCTCAAGTTCTCTCTTCCCCTTCATGTGAAGGGTGATGCTCTATTTATAGTGTTTTGAGTGCAATTAATACAGGAATATGAACCATTTTGATCGAACGGTCCGAAGAGCTTCCCTTGATCAGATGACGTTTGATGGACATTTGAATGTCTTAACGATGTCAGAATTGAGCAATCATGGGCTCATTAGATTCATCTTTTCGAGACGGTCGATTCGACTATGAATTCGCTAGATTTCACATCTGTTTGACTTTTCAAATGCCTCAGAAAATCCTCCAATATATGTTTAATGACTAGATCTGGGTTTGATTTGACTCGGATTTGACTTTCATATCATTTGGTCTGTCTCATCGAGCCGATCAGTTTGACTATAAGTTTGTTAAAATCAAAGCTCTGGCTGACTCTTAATCGAAGTTTGAATGTTTCTTGTTCAAAAAATTACACTGAGATTCGTGTTGGCTGATGAAAATTTGTTGGTGGCTTATCAGTTGCCCCCCTATTTTCGGATGATTCTAATTTCTTCGTCGGAAAATATTAAGATCCATAGACTTTTCATTTTTTGTGGGGCATAAAAAATTAAATTAAATATATTTTATTGCAATAAATATGTAAATAAGAATAATAATTATCATTTATCAAGTATGAAAATGAGTCTGACTCAGTTGCTATGTGACTTTTGTCACTTTGTAAGTGATGAGAGTTCAAATCTCACAAAAAACAAAAATTTATTTTACCAGGCCAAAAACCGACCCGATGGGCCAAGCACTCGCGACCCGGTGGGCCGAGCGAGACCCGACGGGATGGGAGTCAGGAATCTGAAGCGGGCCATGGAGTGAAAAACCTAAGCGGACCACAGAAAACTCAAGCAAAAGAAATTAATTAAATAATTAATTTGAACTCTGAGAGCTGAAACATTAAATGAGCCAGATTTCAGGAGAGCTAAAGAGCTGAAGAGTTGAAAATTAGGATTTAAAGAGAGAGTTGAAGCATTAAATGAGCGCATTAAATGGGCCAGATTGGAATTGAAGGAGAGTTGAAGAGCTGAAGAGCTGAAAAAGAGCTGAAGACCTGAAGCATTAAATGAACCAACACCAATTAAAATTGTGGAATTTGAGAGTTGTAGCACCAAGTAGCATGATTTAAATAAAAACGAATATTTAAATGTACATTTTTTTAAATCAGATAATGTGAAAAATTTTTTCATTAATTTTAGTCATAATTGCAGAATTTTAAGGTCAAAAAACTGAAAGAATATGAAATGAAAGGTTTTTTTATTATTTTTTTATAATGTGCATTTAATGATTAAACTCCTTTTGGAGTCTATAAATAGAGACATTGGATGAGGGGAAAAATCACAATTGAGAAGAAGAAGAAAGTTATCTGACATTGTGGAGAATAGTTGCGGCGGAGCGAAGAGTTGCGGCGGAGCGAAAAGTTGCGACGAAGCAAAAAGTTGTGATGGAACGAAGTGTTGCGGTGCAGAGTTGCGGTGAATAGTTACAGCGAACCGTTGCTGTGAAGCATCACGGTGAAACGTTACTGAAATAACGACAGCTGGAGAACCTTGTTCTGCTGGGATCCAGAGAAAAAGTCAAAAATCGGAGGATGCAATGTCAACTGTGACGGAGAGCGAATTGATCTTTTTTCGAAAGAAGTATTTCTTTTCGAATGATATGGTAGTGAAGTTACCGACTTCAACTGATCGAGCATATTCTCCACCTTCTGGATATGTTATTATTTATGAGGCTGCCTTAAAAGTTGGCCTACAATTTCTTTCGGCACTTGTGTTTATTGAAATTATGAAGACGTTCGGGGTTTGCGTTGCTCAGTTATCTTGTCGAGTGGTGACAGCCATTATTGGTTGACAGTTTTCTTCAGGAGTCGCGGGTTAAAGTAAACACTGACAATTTTGGCACGATTAGTGGTTTCTTATTGATACACATGATCGTGTGTTGTTTAAGTATAAGACATTAGAGTTCCGTCTAAAGAAACCGATGAGACAATGGTTCGCAAAATTGTTCTTTGCAAAAAATGATTGGAGGCTCCGCGAGAGGCAAGGAAGGTTTCAACAATTGTCTGTCTCTCTTCAGATTACCGAAGAGACAATATTGCAGATGTTGAGATTTCCTGACATGAGGAAACTGTTGTGTGAGATACAGTATATACACGAATTTGTGAAGGAGGAATCATTATTCAAGGTCAACCTTTCTTTTCACCCCGAACGGTCAACAGCTGTAGCGCTAAAGAAATCTAAGAAGAGACCTTCTGAGCTAGTCCTCGCAGAGTCCTCCAAGCGGCTCCCAACGAGCAGTGAATGCAAAGTACTGTCTCAGAAAAAAAAAAAAAAAGTTGAAACATCACGGGAGTCTTTGCCAAGCCCTTCAACTATTCACGTTCCTGAAAATATTTTGTTTCATGAATGTACTGAGCTCCTAAAAGTCGAGAGTTTTGTAAGTTTCTCTCATTTTCTACTTCTATATAATTATTTCATCTTTCTAACTCATATTTCTTTTTTTTCTAGATGGATAAGATGGTGAAAAATTAGCAGGGGCTAGGACTTGCATTGAGAAACTGAAATTTCGAATTCATTAAGATCAAATAATTTCAAGGCGAGTACAAGCGACGGTATGAATTTGAGGTTGAAAAAATTACATAGATGTGATTCATCTGTGATTCCAGAGATGTAATTTTTTTGACCCCAGATTCATACCGACGCTTGTACTAGCCTTGAAAATATTTGATCTTAACGAACTCGAAATTCCAATTTCTCGATGCAAGTCCTAGCCTCTGTTGGTTTTCCATCATCTTATCCACCTAGAAGAAAAGAAATATGGGTTCGAAAGATGAAATAATTATATAGAAGCAGAAAATGAGAAAAACTTACAAAACTTTCGACTTCTAGGAGCCCAGTACATTCATGTGACAAGATATTTTCAGGAAAGTGAATAGTTAAAGGGCTCCCGTGATGTTTCAAATTTCTTTTGTTTCTGAGGCGGTACTTCATATTTACTGCTCGTTGGGAGCCGCTTTGAGAATTCTGCGATGGCTAGCTCGGAAGATCTCTTCTTAGATTTCTTTAGCGCTACAGCTGTTGACCGTTCGTGGAAAGAAATGACCTTGAACAATGATTCCTTTTTCACAAATTCATGAATATATTGTATCTCAAACAACAGTTCATTCATGTCAGGAGATCCCAGCATCTGCAATGTTCCCTCTTTGGGAATCTGAATAGCGACAGACAATTGTTGAAACTTTTCTCGCCTCTCGCGGAGCCCTCAATTATTTTTTGAAAAGAACAATTTTGCGGACCATTGTGTCATCAGTTCATTTAAACGGAAATCCAACGTCTTATGCTTAAACAACACACGATCATGTGTATCAATAAAGAACCCACACAGACGTGCCAAAATTGCCGGTGTTAATTTTAACTTGCGACTCCTGAAGAAAATTGTCAACCTAATAATGAATGTCATCACTCAACGAAATAACTGAGCAACGCAAACCCCGAACGCCTTCATAATTTCAAAAAACTCAGGTGTCGGAGAAAATCGTAGTCCAACTTTTAATGCAGCCTCATAAATAGTAACATACCCAAAAGGTGGAGAATATGCTTGATCAGTTGAAGTCGGTAACTTCACTACCATATCATTCGGAAAGAAATGTTTCTTTCGAAAAAAGCTCAATTCGCTCTCCGATACAGTTACCACTGCATCATCCGATTTCTGACTTTTTCTCTGGATCTCAGAAAAACGACATTCTCCAGCTGTCGCTATTTCAGTAATGTTTCATCGCGACACTTCACAACAACAGTTCGCCGCACCTCTTCGCCGCACCTCTTCACCGCAACTCTGCACCGCAACACTTCGCTCCACCGCAACTTTTTGCTTAGCCGCAACTCTCTGCCTTGTCGCAGCTCTCCGTCGCAACCTTGCTTCGCCGCAACTATTCTCCGCAACGCCGGATAACTTTCCTTTCTTCTTTCTTCTTCTTCTCAATCGTGATTTTTTCCCTCATCCAATGCCTCTATTTATAAGCTCCAAAAGGAGTTCAATTATTAAATACATATTATAAAAAATAATAAAAATAAAAAATCTTTTCATTTTATATTCTTTCGGTTTTTTGACTCTTAAAATTCTACAATTATGACTAAAATCAATAAAAAACTTTTCACATTCTGTGATTTAAAAAAATGTAAATTTAAATATTTATTATTATTTAAATCCTGCTACTT